GCAGTGAGCACACAGACTAAAAACACAGGGAGGCAGATAATCAGGCACAGGTGAGACACATCAGGGCGGGACAAACAAATCACAGAGCAGGAGACACCTGAGGGCAGGAAGTGAAATCTGAAACAAAAAAACAGGAAATAAATCTAAAGAATCTAAAGACTGACAACATGACCGAGGGAGCTTCACAAGACGATGTGAGAAATTAAAAGGGGAAAAGTTTTGTATCATAAAATCAAAATACTGACAGTGTTTTGTAGAGCAAAGCTAATTAACCCTCAGGTGACGATGAGAGAACTGAGACAGAGGATCAACAGTTCATCAGCCATAGATCTATTTAACCTGACGACACGTGTTCAGTTTGGTCTCACTGTGTTTTTTACAGTTTGTATATAAAATGTGAAACATGAATGTCTGTACAAATACATTCCATGTGTCTCTGATCATGTTCTGTTCATTAATATGATCTTTTGGAAATAAACACACTGAAGCACTCTGCTGTGTCTGACTGAATTTATCAGCTTAAACTTCTCTGTTTGCCTGCACGTTAACACTGCATCAGTCTGTACATGTGCTGAGTGTGTAGTACTGGAGGATCAAAAGTCATCAAACAAAACCAGCTCCTGTATCAGCTGAGTGTAAAGGGTCAGTCCATGTTTTCAACATGACAAGTTTGCGGGGGGCATACAACCGTGAGGTGGTAATTGTAGTTTTTATATATAATGTAAGTGGACCAGCTCTTTAAATGCTTAAAGGTTTGTCCAAGCAGTGTGTAACCTGTGTGTTCACAGAGCCTGTTCTGCGTAGCATTTATAACAGTTAGTAGATGTCGACCCGACACATTCAATGAGCTGATGACGATGGAGGCAGGGACGTATTTCTGACCACACAGTGACTCTGATCGATGCAGTGCAGTTTAGCCATGATTGGGAGAAAAGCTCAGTATGAAGTCACATTATTTGACTTAATTTCTGTTTTATGAAGTTAAACTAATTTGGACTGAAGTCTTTGTGATGATGAGTGAGATTTTCAGTCTCTGCAGAGCAGCCAGCAGCACAGTCAGCAGTCTTTGACTCAGCCACAGTATAATGTGCACTGACATGTGTTCAGTCATTAGTGAGCCTGCGGTCTGTCGTTCCTTCTCTGTCCTGTAACTTGATAGGCTTGTAAACGGGACTCCTGCATTCATGGTGTTATTGCCCAGCAGGAAGCGGCAGGGTGGAGCGCCGGAGGCTTTTACACACAGGCCAAACATTAATGTGCTTCTGTGCTTCATAAAGACAAACATGAAGAGCTCAGACAAACACAGTGGCAGAAACTAAATATCTGACTCAGATGCAAGAGATAAATGTACAGAGTACAGATCACATGTCACACTCAGAGAGGTAACTGTACACACATCGTCTGTTCACACAATTTGTGACAAACACAATTTCATATGTGGAGATGTATATAGGAAAATATCAGCATACACTTAGCAGCCACTTTATTAGGTACCCCTTGCTGGTACCGGGTTGGACCTCCTTTTTAATTCTTGGTGTCATAGATTCAACAAGGTGCTGGAAACATTCCTCAGAGATTTTGGTCTATATTGACATGATGACATCACAGTTGATCCATGATGTTCCAGCACATCCCAAAGGTGCTCTATTGGACTGAGATCTGGTGACTGTGGAGGCCATTGGAGTACAGTGAACTCATTGTCATGTTTGAGATGATCTGAGCTTTGTGACATGGTGCGTTATCCTGCTGGAAGTAGCCATCAGAAGATGGGTACACTGTGGTCATAAAGGGATGGACACGGTCAGCAACAATACTCAGGTAGGCTGTGGTGTTTAAACCATGCTCAGTTGGTACTAAGAAAATCTCCCCCACACCATTACACCACCGGCAGCAGCCTGAACCGTTGATACAAGGCAGGATGGATGGATCTGAATGTGGTTTTTCCAATCTTCCTGCTGCTGTAGCCCATCTGCTTCAAGGTTGGACAAGGTGTTGTTGCTTCAGAGATGGTCTTCTGCTGCTGCCTCTGATGCAATGACTGAGTCAGACCGATGGAGAGATTTGAATAATCACCATGTCAGGCAGCTCTGTACCTTTGTTAATATTTATACTGTATGTATATAGGCCTACATTATGTGCCTAATTGTTTTAATGTGTGTCCGTCTGTAACCTCTGGACTGTTTCTGTAATATTTCATATAACGTGTGTGCAGTGTTCACTGTTTAGCTTACTAATAAACATCAGTTCTGTTTTCTTGATTTATTGTTCTCACTGCCCCAACACTTCATCTTCATCTGTCTCCTGTGTCCTCACAGTGTCATGATGGCTCATATCCACAGGGTGGCGCTAAAGATTTCCTTACAGTGAGTGAGCAGTGAGCTGACATCACAAACACAGAGCAGACTGAACTGACCTGCAGGTGTGTTCTTTACAGGCACATAGATTAAAAATGGTGTCATGTGCTATACATGTCCTCAGAAATCCAGATCCATCTCCGACATGACTGTGTTTTCTTTTCTTTTCTTTCTTTTATTCTTTGGTAAAAAAAAACAAAAAACAAAAAAAAAAAACAGCAGCAATCTTTTTTTTTTCTTTATCAGGGGAAACATTACGTGTCACTGTCAGGACAGGAGACATAAACAGGCTTCTCATTTTTGTCTTTTTAGGATGTTTTTTTATCCTTAGGAGCCTCCTGATGTGACTTTCCACCTGTTTCTGATGTCATAGAGCAACCAGCAGTGCTTAGCAACGGTTGCTAAGATGCAGTCGCTGTTTGGGAGGGGAGTTATTATTTATTTGTTTGTGAATTTGTTTGTCTGCAGTTGCAGTGTGCCTTTGGAAATGATGCTGGATCTGTGATGTGTTGCTTCTCTCTACAACCTGCAGTTGTGTCGCTGAGCATCATTATTGATTAGACTACACCCCTGCTATAGCCTAATCAATGTCATCAATTGATCTATACATGAAATCAGTGCTGAGTTCTTCCTGATGAGCTCACATGAACTGTTTCTGTCTATCTTTTTTCTTCTTCTTCTTCTTTTTAAACCCCCAGAGTACCTTCAGGGAATGTTCCCATAAGGTTCCCTGTTTGCTGGGTTATTAGTCTGCAGTGTGTGTAGTTTAAAGTTCTAACTGCACAGACTGTAGTTTCTAACTGATGTTACTTGTGACAGTGAAATTATATCTACAGTTCTGTCAGTGATATATTTATAGTTATGTCCTTTTGTTGTTTGTAATAGTTCTGATAATTTTGTTCACTGAAACAATCAATATTCCAATTATCACTATTAAGCAGGTCATCAGTTACTTGAATGTGCGGTCAGCCTTCATCGCGACCTCTGACAGCTGTCAATCAGCTGTTAAGCCTTAATCTGTTTGTGCCTCGGTCCATGTGATGTACTGTCTGCTCAGAGGATTGTGGGTCAGAATAGGCAAAGTAGCATGTTGGCATGCATACCGCAAAATCTGGCCAGATGTAGTAGAACATCCTGGTGTTTTTGGCGTACTGCATTTTACCGGGGGCGTAAACAGAGGCAGTGCAGGCTGTGAGGTTGCAATGGGGCCCGTGGGACGAGGGGAGCCCATGGAAATGATTCAGATTGCCACCTCAGAACTTCACCTGTGTTCAGAGATCTCACATTAAGTTAAAGATGGTGCTATTCACTATAAGCTTCAAAAATACAAACCCATACTTTCACTTTTTACAAAGACCTGTCCTGTAGCACAGACAGACTGCTGGAGGTTGTTTTACTTTATCATGATCCAAAACCACATCGGTCCAACATACAGTAATATACTGAGCAATGCAAAACTGGAATTCACCTCCAAATCACATCTACAACAAAATAATATGTGGTTTTAAAAAACTGCTAAAAGAGCCTTACTTGAAAATAAACCTACTAATTACTAGAATTCTTTGGTGTGTAAATGTTTCATGGGCATTTTATTCTTTTGGCAAAGCAGCTTTATTCATACAGCACATTTCACAGTACTCTTTTACAGAAAAGAGTAAAAATATGTAAAAGGTAAAATTAATTACTAAATGATTTGCATTTTTTTTCTTTTTTTTAAAAAAAGCCAAAGTGCAGAACAACAGGTGCAAAGATAAAAAGATTATTTAAAATGATTTGATTGAGTTTTAAAATAAGGTTTCAGTCATGACAGGGTGGAGGAGGCAGTGAAGCAAGCAAGAATGTTTTTAGCTTCGACTTAAAAGTGGTCAGAATCTGGGAATTATTGTATGTTTGAACATACGCTGCCTGTCGGGAGTTATTTTTCCACAGTCACCGGCTCACTGCACATTATCCCTTACTTACATGATGATATTTATCTGTTAGATTATTATGGATTCTGTAAGAGCAGATTTATTTAGTTTCTTTTTGTGTGTGTTACATTAACTGTTAGTGTGTCTTTTACAGTGGATGTGCATTATGATGTGTTGTTTAGTGTGAATGTATGTTTTGTGTTGTCCCTCTGTACCTGTGTAGACCCCAGGAAGAATAACTACTGCAATGCACATGGGGATCTCAATAAACAAACAAACAAATGTGGGACACAGGTACTTAAAAATAAAAGTGTGTCTGGGACTGTGAATGATCCTGATCCTGATGGATTGTTTCCAAGTAAAGTGTCAGCCCATGCTTGCAGTGGTGAATATTTCCCCTCAGACCTTTGACCTTTATGGACATAAAGAAATAATTTAAAATAAAGACATGATCATTTTTTCCTTAATAAAAATAACATCACCCTTCTGTAAATGGAGCTCAGCTCCACAGAACATGTCAGAAACATGTTCAACAGCAGCTCAGAAGAATCTTACACAAAGAAATCCATCAAATAAATGTATAACTGTAAAAATTAAAGTGTATTTCTGACTTTTTTCCCACAAAAATGTGCATAACAGTCTGGTTATGACGTCATCTCGCAGCTCCGGAGAGGGCGTGTCTTGCTGACGCATTGCGGCTCCCTCCCCGGTGTGTAAACGTGCAGCGGAGAGGCACGGCGGCGCGTGCGGATGCGTATTTATCTGTGTGTGTGTGTGTGTGTGTGTGTGTGTTGATGTGTGCGCGCGCGGCGGTGTGTCACTTATCAGCAGCGGCAGCGTCAGTCTGCATGTGGGCTCGAGCCGGAGCTAAAGCATCCGGGCCGAACTGCGCAGAGATGCGGCGCACGTAGACGCGACATGCGACATGCGGACACACGCGCAGCGCAGATCACGATTTAAAACCTGTGAAGATAATTAGAGAGTTTGAAATGGCGGCGCTGGAGTCGAGGTGAGGAGCAGCTCCGGTGCTCGGTCCGCTGCCTGCTGCTGCCGCCGCCTGCTGCCTCCTGTCTGACGGGGAGTGCGCACTTTCTTCTCGCTCCTCTGCAGGGCGCGGAGCCAACACACAGATATACGCTCGTTTTGTTGTGTACCGAGAGGAATCATGTCGACGGGGCAGGATGAGAGCTCAGTCCGGGTGGCTCTGAGGTAAGGCTCTCTTTATTTATCTCCATCAGCTGGTTGGTGCTTCATTACCCGGTGCCACCTGTCAGTCAGTGCCGCGGGCCGAGCAAACACCTGCAGGTCAACAGCAGCATCTGATCCACACACACACACACACACACTCACTCACACTCACACTGTATCTATAAATGATCAGCCTCATTTCATTTTAGCACGCTGACCCACTTGCAGCCGGCACCTCGTGATGCTGCTGCCGCTCCTCAGGTCTGATTCTCGGCCTGCTCTCTTCTGCACCTCCGCTGTGATCTGCAGCTTCCTAAAGTGTGATGCACATTTATTTTTTGTGCAGAAACCTTAAAGCATCACGCCCTCTGCACAGGTGCACGCACACACACACACGCACACACACACACACACACACACACACACACACACACAGGCCTGTCTCCAGCACACTGAGGAGGGATGATATCATCCATCTGACAGACAGACAGTCAGCCTGTGTGTCCTGAAGCCTGGCTGCCCCTCTCAGCCTCCTGCAGACAGACGGTTAATCGATGAGAGGGCAGCTTCACTGACAGCCAGGTTTCAAGGAAAGGACAGTGGAGCGTTCATTAAGCTCTACTCTTTGTCTGCAGACAGGCTCTGTCTCAGTCTCAGATCTGTGAGCTTGATCAGAAACAGCTTCCTCTCCTCCAAACATGTTAAACACTTAATGTGTTTTTGTGGTGAAGCAGGCCGCTCCCACCCAGATGGTGAGGTGGCACAGTGACAGTGGCATAATGGGAGACCAGCCTGTCTGTCTGCCCGTCTCCCCCTCTCTGTCTGTCTCTCTGAGGCCTTTCAGGGACCGTCTGACCGTTATGAAATGAGAGATAAAGGCTGTATTGTTTCATCCTGTCTCTTTCTCCTGCATCCGTTCATCTTGTCCGTGCTTGGATTTGCTCCTTTGCTCAGCCTCATCACAAAAGTGCATCATCATCTTGTGTGTGTGTGTGTGTGTGTGTGTGTGTGTGTGGAGCGTGTTTGTACAAAGCTTCCTGATTCCATTTCCCATTTTAAAAGGAAAAATCCACATTATGATTCCGTTCAGAAACAGCTGACATCATGTGGCTGCTTCAGACATGTCTCCTGTAAAACGCAGCGGCTGTGACGTCATGTTGAGATTTGTTTCAGCAGAATATGTTTAAGAAAAGAGGCTCTTACTGAAGGTGACATGTTGTACCAGCAGTTAACAGTCACACAGGGACAGATCCACAGAGACACAGCGTCAATAGATGTCAGTGTGTTTGGAGGAGGAGGGTAAAGGTCACTCGGGGAGTTGTATGAAATCAGCAGGCTGCAGAACTGAAGCAGGACGTGTATTGTTGGGAGTAAACTGAGGTGAATAACAGCACTTCATTACAAATACAGCTCCTGGAGTGATATTTGTTACTACAGTGGGACCAGTCAGTGCCACGTCCCGTCAGGAGTCTGTCATGTGGTCAGGTGTCTTTGCAGCTGATCTGCTCGTGTCTTTCTGTTTGTCCTTCTAGTTGTAGGAGAAAAAAACACCTGTGCTGATGTCACGCTGTGCATAAAATGACCCTTGAATGAATATGGTACTATGAAGGTTTGCATTCAGACAGCTGTGGTTTTTAACCCAATTATTAACAGTTTGAGGCAGACATTTGGGGGGGGGGGGGGGGGGGGGGGGGGTTAATTCACTTTGGTATTTTCAATACCTATACAAAAAACACGGTTACAAATTGCTTTACAAAACTGAATAAAAGACAAAGCAAATAAACGTCACAGAGTAAAACAGACAAAATTAAAGCAGTTAAAATCCCAGAGGTCATTTTAAGCAGGTTTCCAGAAGTGATTTCTAAGATGAGACTGAGTTCGGGGCCCTGATCTCAGGCAGGTCACTCCAAAGTCATAGAGCTCTGACTGTAAACGCTCGATCGCCTTTGAGAATTAATCTTGATGTCGGAACAACAAGAAAAGATTCAGATTTCAGTTAAAGTAATAAACCATGTGTTAAACCAATAACCCTTCTGTTACTGTCATACTGTGAAACTGTGATATCTTCTGAGATGATTACCAAACTGTGAAAATCTCATACTGTTGTAAAGGCCCTGACACACCAAGCCAAGGGTCAGCCGTTGACCAAAGTCGGGTCGTCGGTGAGCGTCTGTCGGCCTAGTTTTTGCGGTGTGTCCTGCACCGTCGGCACTTCGGCATAGGCGGCTTTTCGGACAATTGAGCATGTTGCTTGTCGGTGAGAGAGATCACTCTGATTGGCTGTTCAGGTTTTATTTCCTCACCCCTGTAGCGAGTGAATCTGCCTGTAGTGAACCCGGGGCTAACCGGTGCTTCCTCCTCAGGCTCCACTTCACTCAGCTGCCCGACAGACCCACTGCTTCTTCACACTTTAACCTGAAAGCCTCCGCTAGCTTCTCAGCTAGCCCCGGCTCTCCGTTTGGATCCAACCGGAGCACCGAGACCTGGTTTGTTATTCAGGTTAAAGTGTGAAGAAGCAGTGGGTTTATCGGGCAGCTGAGTGAAGTGGAGCCTGCGGAGGAAACACCGGGACCGTCTGGATGTAATAGTCCGTGGAGGTGCTGCGGTGCTCGGCTGCACAGATAGGAAACCCCTCGGCTGACAGGATGTACCACTCTCTCACTCCGTTCCACTCACACAGGCGCAGAACGTACGTGCTACTTGGCCGTCAGATGTAGTCCGTGTAGTGTGTTCAAATGCAACTGACACAGGGCGACATGAGGTGACGTAGACGACGCAACAGTTGGCTTTCGTCGCCGCTAGTTCTTTGATGTCGGTGTGGTGTGTCCGTACCTTAACCCTACATGGCACCCCGGTATATTGGTATTATCCAGTTGGGAGGTAAGTATGTCCTCCCAGTCGTAGTCATTTGTAGTGTTGCTAGACCGGATTTTAGAATTTAGAATAAAGACCACAAACTAAACTGACCACAGAGCTGAATCATCACCTGTCTCTTTATCAGTTGTTGGTCGGAAACTGTGGAACAGCCTGCCACAAACACTAAGATCCTCACCCTCTTTAAATATTTTGAAAGCCGGGCTAAAAACCCATCTCTCTGCCTTAGCTTTTGGTGATGCATCATGAGAATATATATTGTTTGATATTCATCTTTTTCAATGAATTTGCTCAAGGCGAACTCTGCTGTCTTGGTTGATTATTTTTCATGTTGTGCATAATTGTATCCATTGAAAAGCACTTTGGTCAACGATTGTTGTTTTTAAATGTGCTCTATAAATACTTGACTTGACTTGACTAATGCCCGGGACACACCGTGTCTCTCACTGCCTGGAAAAAACGAGGTCGGGTGCTGGGTGCTTCTCTTGTGCCTCCTCTGTACCAACCTTAAGAGCATTATTCACAATGAAACTATGGGAAGGGTTAATCTGACAAATATTTAGGTACTTTTTTGATGAATATCTTAAATTTGATGTAAACACTGCAGATGTTGTGAAGCGAGGGCAACAGTTAAATCACCTTCTCTGTGAACTAATTCCTTATCCGTCAGTCTCGTCATCCTCTGTCGTCTCTGTCAGTCTGTTATTGAGAGCCTCCTGTGATCTTCAGTTATCTGCTGGTTTCACAGCCTCATATTCAAACACAAAAACAGTCTGAATGGCATCTTTAAAATCTGCTCTGAGATCACAGCAGTGACACAGCAGGACTCAACCTGTTTTTGCAGTCAACAAATCCAAATCCAGAACGCCTCGAGTTTTTTAGCTTCTTCTGGACATCCTGTTCTTGCAGGTGAATTTTCTCTGTTGCCGTCAGGACGTTATTATTATTATTATTATTATTATTATTATTATTATTATTATTTGTTGAATCCTTTATTTCACTGAACTCCTCGGCATATTTTTGATTTTTATTTCTTACTCATCTCTTTGTGTGTCTGCATGTTACTGTGTGTTGTAGTGTGTGTGTGCAAGGCAAGCTGTTCAGACAAAATGCCCCTGGTGGGATTAATGATGTCTGAATCTGAAGAGTGTTGAGGCAGGCTGCGTCTGAAGTTGCTAAGCAACCATAACAACCACTGTATCATATCCCACTTACCAGATATCTTGAGTGCAGAGCTGATCTTCCTCCAGGCGCTGTTTTAAAGTGCATATTCAGCCTTAAATATTGACATTTGACAGAATTGACATATAAGCCAGTTTCCTGTCTGTGAAGGTAAATTGAAAACCAAATTTTGGCCTCTAACTAAAAAAAATCCTCCCCAAAATACATGTTTGTCCACACTGGATGAAAGTGTGTGTTCAAAATGACTTGCATTTTCTAAAAGTCTTTTCTAAGAGCGTGCAACCTGCTGTTAATCCAGTACGATGTGGATGTTTTGTGTTCTGCTTCCAGGAACTAAAATTACAGCCCAGATTTTAACACGCTACATTTCACTCTAACCAGGTCGTTTTCTGAGACTGACCCAAAAAAGCACAGTTACGGTTTCTTAATTAAATATTTTGGGCAGTTTTAGCATTTAGACTGCAACTAATCATCTATAATTTTGAAGCATTCAGGGTGAAATGATAGCTGTAAAACCAGTGATGTAATTAGTACTGCATGGTTTCCACAGACAGGAGTGACACTCAGCTCAGAGCCGGGGATGAGTCTGCAGCGACATTTTGTTTTTTTATATGACGTTTTTTAATTAAAATTTAGAATTTCTTTTGGCCTGCAAATAGAAATAATAACATCATGTATTAATCTATAAATTCATGTAAATAAAGTCACAGCCTCTCACAGAAAATGGCAGATACTTTAATAGTACAATGCAAAACATTACAACATACAAAGTAATTTAACACAACTTAGACACTCTTGCAGTTGCAAAGCTGCAGACTGAATCTACAGCTTATAACACCAGCCCTTTTAACAGCACATCATGTTTAGCAATCAACAACAAAACAAGGATAACTGCCAATTAAACAGAATTACAAGTGAATCAATACTTTTACTTCCTTTTTTCCTTCCCACCCCCTCCGGCCCTA